AATATGAAGGATTTATTATGTTGTTTTTTTTCATTCAGATGAACATACGGCACCAAGATCAAGATCTGGCCAAACAGTTTTTGGAAATCAGACACGACATGGGAAAAGTCCGATGGGCCGCGCAGTGCAAGACGCACGACGAGCTCCTTGACGAGGCGGAGGAAGAAATCCAGGACTACCGTGACATGTCCCGTCTGGTGGATCTTCCTAGCCCGACCGTGGATCTCATCTCATCCGTTACCTTCCTGCAGCACTTCGGCGTCACGCGAATGAATATCAGCTCGCGCAGGTTTTCTACGTGCTGATCGACGTGACCATCATCATGGCACTCACTTGCAGAAGTGATGCTTCAAATAGAGGGAAGGCTATAGGATTGGATGTACTGCCTTCAGTGGCGTATGAAGAAGGTGCGGAGGGGGCGATCCGCCCTGAGAAGCACTTTAGTTTTCTGTATATTTATGGACGGGTTGGATTTTCGGCCAACTGCAAAGTTATCGACCTACCCCGGGTGGCACTAACCCAGGGTGGCACCAGCCCCGGGTGGCACTAGCCCTTACAACGCCATCGAATGTCTTGGCAGTCATTTCAGCATTCTGGTCTTGAAATGGATTTTAAATTGTAAAACCTTAACCTACGGTTAACAAAAAATTATAATAATTAAAACCGGCAGTGACTTGATAAGCCCGAAGACGTGGGTCGGTAACTGTGACGCTCTGGTCGTGGAGATAGTACTGCCAATAAAGGAGATAAAGACTTCTCGTTCTGAAAAGTTTGAGCCAAAGATCTTTTTTTTTTTAAATACTTAAATCAGCAGTATCAGAAGCAATGCGGGACCTTCGGGTACCTATGACTATGATGTTCCCTTGTCTTGCAGTTGCCTACGTAAACCCCATAATGCACATTGACTATACGGCGTCCTTTTGTCTCTCCGAGGTTGTTGTTCCTTGTTTGTTTTTTTAAGTTAAGGTCATTAATTTTAATTCTTTACCACCAAAAATCTTTAAAGAACACTCATCAACCTCGGAAGCCCTTGTCAAGAAAATCATTTGGAATGTAGGCCCCTATTCCTTGGACGTATCTCCTCGTGATCTACCTTGATGGGGAGAGCAACACAATGGAAGCTGCTCAAGTTCAAGCTGGGTGAATGGAGCCACAAACGGATAATAGCAGTGGTACCGGTAGTCCATAAAAGGATTCGCCATTTAAGCATAACCGTTTTTCTCAATTGTAGAAATGTGTGGGATGGGGGGGGGGGGGGGGTAGGTTTTTTTTTTTTTTTTTTTTGGTGTGTTTTTTAATGCGGGAGATGGTGCACCATGGAGAGGTAGGGAGGTAAGGAGGTAAGGAGGTAAGGAGGTAGGGAGGTAAGAAGAGGTTTGTGAGAAAATCAAAAGCCGTGAAACATTCATGGGCCCAATGTCTCAACTGACCAAACTTCAGGACCGCATACAACACTTTAGCCATGTTTCATTGTATATTATGATTGGTGGCAAATTAATTAATACTCACACATGACTAGAGTAGATGAAGTGGCCAGTAAGAACAAGACGTATTATAAATTATATACAAGACTCTTTTTTTTTTTAAATGAAAAATTATAATTATACCTTCTTAGTTTTTATTACTATTTAAGGACAAGTTGAATTTTGCTGTAAGTTGTAAGGTGTGATGACGCGAAAGTTCGCAAATGTTTTTTTCTATCACTGTCTAGTGCTAATTGTACTGTCGGCTATTATATAATAAATAAGGAATTGATCTTTTAAATCAAGAATATGTGTTTTTCCACCAAAGCTCTGTAACGAAAGCGATGGCCGTCCTGGCCTTAGAATTATAACTGACAGTACTGGTCATCATAACGAACAATTCTATGGTAGGTTACTTCCTTGTCCAATATATGTGTAGAGGACATAACGGTATATGGGGAGCTTGGCATCAGCTGACACTAATAATAGTGCCATATGCTGCTATTACATAATATGGTGTATTTTTTTTTTTTAAATATTCTGAAGATGAAAATATGAGGCTGAGAAAATGAAGCACGACTATTTGTACACGGTCTCCCGCTCTCTCTACCTCTCTGATGTCATTGATTCGGCTATTTTTCAAATAATTTATTTTTCGTCCTTCGCACACGAAGATGACCAATGCAAATTTAGGACTTGAGCAGTAACCTTGACTTCAGCAGTAACCTTGACTTCAGCTGTACATGTATTTTGTTTAAAGTGGGGGAGAGTTGCTCAATTCGTCAGCCTCACTCTCTCTCTCTCTCTCTCTCTCTCTCTCTCTCTCTCTCTCGTCCTTGACTATGTAATCCAATGGCAAGACTGGGTCAAGACGACTTGAAATAGACCAGGATGCAGTAGATGACCAGCAGTGTGTGTTTCACTATGCCCTTTCTACGTTCTATAGTTAGGACATGCAAAGTTTCCCAAACTTTCGACATCTGTGTACTCCTGTCTATAATTTTCTAACACCGAGTACCCCTCGTTAAAAAGAAATTGCATACACTTTATTAATTAAAAAAAATTAAAAATATTTATTTTTCCTAGCAGGACGTACCCCAACCAAACTCTTCCCGTACCCCCCAGGGGTACGCGTACCATACTTTGGGAAACACTGCCCTAACTGATCAGAAGATCCCGAGATAAGAACATCTGATGATTTGTTTATTATTACTTTATTTTCATGTACATATTTCTTCTTGTCTTTGTTTATTTACAGGTTCTTATGAATGTCACGTGTCATGACAAAGTTTTCAGTATTTGAGAATATGGCATAGACAGTTCAGACAGAGGATCATTTGTTCTAGCAAAGTCTCCATTGGGAACGGGCAGAATGTTAGTTCTCGCTAAGAGTGAAACATTCTGGGACGATTATTATTGGCATGTCTTCGGCTATAATTTCACATTGAGTATTGGGGACGGGAAAATGAGGGGGGTGGGGGGCGAGCGGATGGCGTGGATATTACAAATCTGGGAATTTCACAGGAGAGATAGAAAAAAAGGGGGGGGGGGCAGATGGCATGGGTATTATGAATCTGAAGAATTTGCGATTCAGAAAATGCATATATACATTTCATCTTTTGACAAGGATGTTCAATAACTTCTATTGTCGTGTTTACTGTTTTTCGTGTATATTATAATGTAAATATAATAATAGTATAGTGTTCCATCCCTTCAGCAGCTCAGCTCAGTATCTTCCTTTAGACCGGTGTAATCTCCCAAAGTTAGGATTGAAACACAAGCTACCACTGTTACTAACTACAGATTTCTGTGATTGTTGAAATAGCTGGTACCTGTACAGATGCATTCAAATTGTAACTGTAAGTTGTAAGAAAACAAAGTTTAAAATGTTCGCAGTACTCTTACTCGTTTGTTAAAACTGGATGTGAGAATACACACCCAAAAAACAACAACATGTCAGCAGCACACCTTCAGCAACCATGTGAAGAATTACTACCCCCTGGAGTGTGCATTAAAAAAGCTAAGAGTTACTGCCCCTTCACTAGTACAATTACAAAAATAAGAGTTACTGCCCCTTGTGTGTACAGTTACAAACGGAACCGATGCGTTACAATGTTACATTTAGAGCTGCCCCCCCCCCCATCCATTTCCCTTCTTGCCCCTTAATGAAATTAAAAGTAATCACTATTGAAATGTAACCACATTAACTATAAATCAGCCCTGGTTGCCGTCAGGGTTTGTGTGGCCCCGGTTGCCGTCAGGGTTTGTGTGGCCCGGTGGCCGGCAGGGTTTGTGTGGCCCCGGTGGCCGTCCGGGGTTGTGTGGTGTTTGTGTGGCCCCGGTTGCCGTCAGGGTTTGTGTGGCCCCGGTGGCCGTCGGGGTTTGTGTGGCCCCGGTGGCCGTCGGGGTTTGTGGGGCCCCGGTGGCCGTCAGGGTTTGTGTGGCCCCGGTGGCCGTCAGGGTTTGTGTGGCCCCGGTGGCCGTCAGGGTTTGTGTGGCCCCGGTGGCCGTCGGGGTTTGTGTGGCCCCGGTGGCCGTCAGGGTTTGTGGGGCATCGGAAGACTGCACTGGTTACAAAGCGTTAGTTGTTTTCTTCATCTCTGGTTTACAATATTTCTGACTTTCTGCCTTCTCCACTAATTTTATTTATTTTTCTTATGCGGCAAAATTTTTAAACACAGCTTGTCACAAGGTATGGACTAACAGTTATGTTCTTTTGTCTCAAAAACCCCTTGGCATGAATGGCATGTCCTCCACATGTTAAACCTTTTCTCCGCCCCTTGTCCTTGTTGCACCCCAATTGCAGTGGGCTCACTTTTCCTGTCTTCTGTCTCCTATTGCCTGTATTATTTCTGATACCCACTCTGAATGTTCTATCAAATTCCTCCTGCCATCTTCTCGGATACTACAAGACAGCTGCGCATTTATTATTTTAAATATTGTCGTATTTTTTTTAACTGAATTGATGTTTTGTTGTGTCAGTTTTTCAGGTTTTCCCCGATACTGTGTTTTGCGTATTTCCTCTTACCTATCCTGATTGCGGTCTCTCCCCCATCTTAACACCTTTTGTCTCCTACCAAGGTTTACTGTGAGGCTGTACCGATCGTACCAAGGTTTACTATGATGTTGAACCCATCGTACCAAGGTTTACTGTGAGGCTGTACCCATCGTCACTGTGGCTCTATAATCCACTAAATCAGGTTTTCTATATTTCACGGGTGACACTGAAAATTCCGCAACTTAATGAAGAACTTTAGGCTAGATCGTTTAATAGTTCATTACATCAAGTGACAGCAAATGTCCTTTCAGATAATATAATTTTAACAATATTTTTTTGCAGGACATTGGGAAGCCCTAGCTATTTATAAATCAGAAAAAAAAAGAAAGAATTTTTTTTTCCGGAGCTACAGTAACGCTGTGCTTTTTTCAAAGCTCAATTAAAAACTGCATCCATCACAAAGATTTAAAACAAATCATCAACAAACACAGTTATTAGTAACTCAAATAAATCATTAACAATGAATAACAAACACAGTTATTGGTAAGTCAAATGCCCATCTATTAACTTTGATTTGTTTTCATCACTTGTTAAGTTGGAAAATAAAATCAAGAACATTAAATTTAAATAAAACAATACTGTTCAGATATATATCTGTGATCTAAAATGTACAACTATACCATTATGTTCAGATATATATCTGGGATATACAATGCACAACTGTACCATTATGTCCAGATCTAAAATGTACAACTGTACCATTATGTTCAGATATATATCTGGGATCTAAAATGTACAACTGTACCAATATGTTCAGATAAATCTGAGATTTACAATGTACCACTGTACCATTATGCTCAGCTATATATCTGGGATCTAAAATATACAACTGTTTGCCTGATAATATGTACATCAAAAGTCTGAGAAGTGAACACAATAAATGAGATTAATTTTTTTTCCCATCCATAGACACGGGTGACAGACTAAAGTAATCATCTCAAACACAAGCCAGCGGCCAATCATACAAAATAATAGACATTCACCCCTCACAGTCACTGGACGTCAAAAAGATCCTAGCTCGCAATCATTCAGTCACACAATCATTTTACCACACAATCATTCTGTCACACACACATTTTCACTTACATGACAACATTCCAGCCTTCATGAAAGATTTTGAGCAAAACAAAAAGTTGCGTGCCTTTGACAGCTTGAGGATTTAAAAAAAACTCCGCCGATCACGTCCACCAGAGCGCTTCTTGGCGCTGGTTCGCTTCGGCCGTGATCACTCGCTTCTGGTCAGCCTCTGCCACTATCACACACTTAAACCAGTAACGGAAACAATTAAAAACATCGTCAACAACTGAGCGGGGGATAAATTGAAGGTATTCACAAAATTTATTGCTACATTTCTGTGTGTATAATTTACGTGGCAGGGCTCTTAAACAAACAAGCTGGTCTCTTGAGAATCGCTAATATAAGAGCTCTGATTAAAGTTATATTTTTGGCAGTGACCTCATTTGCCTAGAGAGCAAGGTTCATCCACACAAAGACACTGCTGTTTTATATGTAATATTTTTTAACATACATCTGTATTAAATAAATAAATAAAGAGATGTGGTACATTTATAATTTCTATGAGCCTTTATAAACAATAATGATCAGGGGAACAAAACTGTTTGAGATCCCTGATAATCATTGATACCTAGGTGAACATTTAGTTTACCTCGGCAGCACGACCAGATATTTTAAAACATTTAATGGCAGCTATCATTTTTATCTATCACTGTTAGGGCGATCGCCAGAACAACTCAACGGACAAAAAAAAAATAACATGTAACCCTGCTGGTTAACTAAGATCATACGAACTTGGAGAAATAAAAAATAAAATGTTTCAATACTCCACACTCAGAGCACACAAATACAATACAAATAAATATTCCAGCATTTTGCAAAATGGATAGCAAGAGTGCTCGCTGTTAATAGATTTCTTCCCTCCTGCCAGATTATTTGTGCACTATCTACACAAAGCGTTGTACCAGTACTCAAATACAGACAAAATCTGTTGCATGAATTGAGGGCTACCAACTATGGTGTCCATCCTACAAACGGATGGACACCATGGACTGGAAGTTGGTGGTGCTCTGAGGAAGCTACTGTAGAAATGTGGTTTGACTTCCTGTGAAGATCAGCTTGCATTGCAGTAAAGGTGCATAACATTATTTTGTTGGTCAAAATAGTATTCAATTTTTTTATTTCATCCCCTTACTTGAAATCTGACAAATTTTGTGAGTCTACGGAGAATTTATTTTATAACGCTTTGTCGTCACTTAAGTATGGCACCCAAGCTATCCACAGACGGTATGAAATTCAACTAATGAATGCTGCTGTTTTTTGCCCAATAGCCTTGCCTCGTCATGATGAAGTCAGAGAACTTATGATTGATCTCATACAAGGGCCTCTTGTTAAGTTTATACCAGTACATAAAATGAGGCTATGGTATCTTTTAATTGTGAGAGTCTCTATTCTTTTCTTCCAATAGAAAAAGTATATGAGCCGTAAGTTTTCTACAGATTTTGACTTGCAGAAAAAAATTAATCAAGAGGCTTCTTACTATTAGAGTTGAAAAAAAGAAAAAGCTTTAATTTAGGAAAGATGACTTTAAAAATTCGTAACTGTGATAGATGGAGACACAAGTTTCAATCATCTACACACACCGCTAATGGTGTAACTTGATTCGGCATAGCCGGCTTTGTATTTAAAAAATAAAATGCGTGAAAATTATAAGTCAGCTTTGAATGAGCAGCAGAGCAAGTGTCTCTTATATTAAATAAATTTTGGCTCACAAAAGTTCCACTTCAGATCTGAAAGGGAAATGGCAGCATTCTACATCTGGAAACACTTTCTGCGTTATCCTGCGGACGGTGGAGCTGTTGTTGTGGAGGGCTGGGGTGGTGGTAAACAACGGGGTTAGTATGAGAAACAGACTGCACAGCAACCTCGATGGTCTCGTGTACACCGTAGACGTCAATGGGGACAACTCCTTTCTCCTGGAAGCCGTAGCCGATGTAAATTTCTTTGATACTGTCCTTGTGTCTCTCCAAGAATGACACATACCTGAAATGTAACACATGCGACAGGTATTTTGGAAGTATTGAAAGCTTTGCTTTAGAAATAAGTGTTTAAAAGCAAATCCTTTGTCCTGGAGCTAATTTTAAATGTTCCATAGCTTTACAAAATATAAATTTTAAAGGCTACCTATTTCACTATACATATAAGAGATAAATTTTTATCACTGTGGGGGCATCCATTTTATGCCATGCTATTTTGGCTTTTTTTTTTTTTACACATTATCACTAATTTTTCAAAAACTTTAAAAACCATCAACCAAAAAAGTCAAAAAAAATACCCCCCCCCCCCAACTAGATATTACACATAATTTAATCATGGCCCTTTTTAACAAAAATCACCAAAAAATAACTTCATAACCATACTACACTAACAAAGTACTTACCATTCATCATTTGGTAAATTGTTTTCAAATTTTGTCTTTCTTTCTAATTTATTGAGCATGTCTTGAACCTTGAGAAGCAAATCTTGACGAGTTCTACCAAAACCAGCTCTGTGCATATTTACTACAAACTCAATTAGCTGAGGATAGAATAGATTTAGACACACATTTTAATTTGTATACTAGGCTATTTTTATTTTTTTATAAAAATAAATATAATAAATATGAGATCAGCAACAAAAAAAAGCATTATCACATCTGCTCAGCATATTAACAGATGCATCAAATCACTTTGTTTCATTCTACCATGACAGCAAGTTAAATAGAAAAGATATCTCTCTATATGTTTGTCCATATCAACATCATACTTTGCATCCTGACATTAGTAAACCTAATTTAAATCAATTGTTTATTTTACTTACAACATTACCTCTCGTTCTTCTTTTTTGGAAAGAATTGTCTTTCCCTTGAAACCCGTTGGTGGCTTTTGAATTCTGTGTTTATACTGAAAACAAATTAGAATCACCACAAAATTAAAAGTTTTAGAGCTAAAAATGACAATAAGGGGGAGAGACTGCAAGCAGGTTAGGTAGAATGAAATAAGTGATACAAAATATGGGAAAAAACTGAAAAAAGGGCATGCGAAATAATCGATGTGTCCGCCAGAAGCCTTCTTCTACAAAAAAAAACAAAAATAAAAACAATATAAAATTTTTAATAAACACTTAGCTGCAATGTATTTTCCAAGAGGACTGCATGAGGAATGTAATAGTCCAGTAGTAGGTAAGAGAGTTAATATAGGTAATAAGGGATGTCAATATAGGTAATAAGGGATGTAAAAGAGGGACAATAAAGTTCTTATTAATTCTGCTTAAATACCAGGTATTTCAAATTGCAAAACTTGATTCCGTTTTAAAATGTTTTCTTGAATATTAAAAAAAAATATTTAAAAAATCCAAACTAAACTACCCTCAAATTATTTTTTGAAAACATGTGTGAAAAGCTATGGCTGTTTATTGCGTATTTCAATGTTTAGATTTAAATACTTACTGATGCATGCTTTGGCAGATGGCTTCTAAGAGTACTTCTGGGAATATTGTAAGCCTTAGCAGCTTCTCTCTGGGACATCTTACCACTAATCACAGCATCAACAGCTGTTATCATCATCCGCAAATGCTCAGTGTTGTTTCTGGGTGGATCAGGACTCACAATAATATCCATTTTTAACAAATGGATTTATTCAAGTCAAGAAACTAAAAAAAATAGGTACAAAGTAGTAAGCAGGGAGCAGAACATAAAACAAAGTGTCTACACGTCCGGCGCGCCGGACAAATAGTGCTGGAGATATACGTCCAGCAGGCATGTCACGTGACCGCCAGACAACTGGTAGGCGTTATTATTGCAGCAGGTCATGTAGCAAGTGGTCGCCGGTAAAATAGTTGCATTGCATTTGATATTCTGATCCCTAAAATAATAAATAAATGCTGAACATGTAAAAATATTCAAATGCACTGAGATACATAAAGTGCTGGACTTTGAATATTAAACGAGTCGGCCTATATACTATTTATCACCATCACTATTATTTTTTTAGCATTCATATTTTTTATTAGCGTAATTCTCTCCCTCTCAGCATTGCTTCCTTCTACTTCTAGAATGCATTATTTCTTAACCCCCACTTTGTTTTGGTAATATACCCAAATATTTTTTCTATTATTTTTTTGCAAGATACTCAGTACATTACTTGGTAGAGAAATAGATATTAAAATTAACAATAGTTTTGAATCATTGGCGGTCACCGACAAGGCTGACGGACAAATATCTCGATAAAGTATTCTTCCGGCGGTCATGTGACTTGGTTGCCGGACAAATAGTGTGGGACATATACGTCCGGCGCGCCGGACGAGTAGACACGGCCAACATAAAATATGAAACAATTAAGGAATTTATTATAAACCTAATCTTTTTATTTTGAACTCAAATTGCTTTAATTTATCAACCTTCACCATAACAAAAAATGTTATAGTTATTAAAGTATTATAGACCAAGTAAAACCAAAAGGCCCATCGGTAATTGACATTATTATTGTCAAAATCATTCATAATTCATTTTGACATATTTTGTGACCCTCATCCTGTGCCCCTTGTCAAAGATCGTCAGGTTGCACAAAACGTTAATGTTGCTCTCATCACAAATATGTGATTGTAACGGACTATGTTTTCACATGTAAACAGAGAGGTAGCATGAGTGGACAGTGAGTGTGTTCACCAGGTTTTTCCACGGGGAGAGACAATCAATGTGGATTGTATTTTTGAGAACAAATGTGAACTCCACGTTTTTGGAGAGTAAAATTATGTTTT